GTAGGGATAGGACAAGGGGTAATGGCTTTAAACTGAAAGAGGTGAGATTTAGATTAGACATAAGGAAGAAATTCTCCACTGTGAGTGTGGTGAAGCTGTGGCCCAGGGTGCCCAGAGAAGCTGTGTCTGCCCCCTCCCTGGCAGTGTTCAAGGCCAGGTTGGACAGGGCTTGGAGCAGCCCGGTCTGGTGGAAGGGGTCCCTGTCCACAGCAGAGGGGTTGGAACTGGATGACCTTTGCAGGTCCCTTCCAACCCAAAGCACTTTATGATTCCGTGGAAAAGTGGTGAAGTCAGTGCTGCTTCCCTGCGCAGCCTGGACTTTGCCGCTCTGCCCTTTGCCTGGTCCTGGAAGGCAGCAGCTGAACATGTTGGCTGTGCTTGTGGTCACAGGTTATCCCATCCCTGTGCATTGATCTTTGGAGTACAGTAGGTGAAATGAGACAGCAGCAGTGTGAAGCCCCAGGGCCAGGAGGTGCTGGGAGGCAGCGTTTTTTACCGACACAGCTTGTAGGGAGAAAAATCCCTGCCTTGCTGTAAAGTCTCAGTTAAGGAAAGAATAGCTGGCCGGAGGCCTTGTTTAGAAGAAGCAAGCTGGGCTCATGGGAAAGAGGAGAGGAAAGCTTTGTAGATGCCTGGTTTCAACTTTGCTGTGTGGTGCCTTTTATCTGTGGATGAAAAGCTTCTTGTCCTCAAAGTCCCCATACTGCTTGCCAGGGCCCTCCTTCACCTCTGCCTTTGCTCCCAGTAAGCCAATGTCCCCACCCGTGGCTCTCAGTCTAGACCTGCGCTCTGAGCTGCCTGGAAAGGCCGTCCCGAGGAATCTGAGCTGCAGAGCAGGGGCATGGGCATAACTGAGTGGATGAGAAAGGCATTCAGAGGAAGGACAGGAGTCCGCAGGGAGGTGTGCGGTGAGGGTGGGTGAGAACTGGGCTAGAAGCTCATCCTCAGCCAGCGATGACAGCTTGTCCAGCATCCGTCCTCCATGCCACTGCGAGGAATCGGCCAGACTGCCTGGACACACGCAGGTTACCGCCTCAGTGCTGGATAGAAACGCAGGGACAATTGTGTCTTGGTGCTCCTGAGTGAGCAAAATCAGTTTTGTTTTAATGCCGATCGCCATCCCCTCCTGTAAGGGCCAGCATTGAGCTTTGCTCTGTGTTGGTACAGCGTTGTGATGCGGTGCGTTACAGAATCAGAGCGCAGGAAGGAGCTGGTACTGCTGCTGCGCCAGGCAGAGATACAGGATGTAAATTGGTAGGGAATTAGTGTTCTATCGTTCAGGGAACTCCTGGCTTCATGTGAGAATTAAACAAGTGTGTAATGACTGTTCAGCACACGTTATGTGTTCTCTCTGCCCGGTCACAGATGGTGCTTCTATCACTGCTCTCAGCTATAGGTTTTTCCTCTCCTGTTCAGTCCATAGTGTCCCAAAACATTTTTTTGATGGTTATCTGGCTCATAAAACCCTCTCCAGGCCAGATAAGCAATTAATTTAGGGAACAATTAGGGAGTAACAGCAATGATGGTGTCTAAATGCAGCAGGAAAGGGGTAAGGTCCTTCCCCTCAGACCCATCTGCTCCAGGGCCAGCTGTGGGTCTTTGGAGGGAAGGGTGTAACACAAGAAAGTCTGGCCTCAAATTTCTAGGTCTGGACTTGAGCTTTTCCCATCTGGCTGAATATCTTTCTTTCTAAAGACCAAATGCTATCAGTAGATGGGACAGGAATTTGGTCCATCAGTCCCCAAAAGAAAATGAGGATGAAGCACTAGCAGAGTGCAAAGCTGACGGTCTCTCATATGACTTTTCTGCCCTCGAAGCTCAGCTCTAGACCAGCTGCTGCTCCATACACCCTGATCTGCTCCATACTCCCTTTTGGTGAGTTCCTCACCTGGGGTCGATGCTGCTGGGACTTACGTACGTTGCTGTGAGCCATTCCAGGCTCCTGGACTGCAGATGGTGTTTGTGTGCTGACAGGCACAGTCTCCAGTGATTTTTTTTTAGAGGGATGGGGGACAGGCAGGGGTTACTGTGTTCCCAGAGCTCCCCAACAAACATCACTTTGTTCCCAACAGAGCTGACCGTCCTCTTTTCACTGCTGGATGCTGTCCTCACTGGCCAGCAGTTTGGCAGCATCAGTACCATGAACCATAGCCCCAGTGATGACCCAGGTCTCAGGTTGTTTCACTAGATCTATATGGGTCCGTACAGCTCTGGAGCAAATTCATAGAATCATAGAATCATTAAAGTTGGAAAAGACCTCTAAGATCATCAAGTCCAAGTGTCAACCCAACACCTGCTAAACCATGTCCTGAAGTGCCACATCTACACGTTTTTTAAACACCTTCAGGGATGGGGAGTCCACCACCTCCTGGGCAGCCTGGTCCAATGCCTGACCCCGCTCTTTCAATGAAGAAATTTTTGCTAATATCCAATCTAAACTTCCCCTGATGCAACTTGAGGCCATAGCCTCTTGTCCTATCCCTAGTTACCTGGGAGAAGAGACCAACATCCACCTCACTACACCCTCCTTTTAGGTAGCTGTAGAGAGCAATCAGGTCCCCCCTTAGCCTCCTCTTCTCCAGACTGAACAGCCCCAGTTCCCTCAGCTGCTCCTCATAAGACTTGTTCTCCAGACCCCTCACCAGCCTCGTTGCTCTTCTCCGGACACGCTCCAGCCCCTCAATGTCCTTTTCGTCCCCAAAACTGAACACTACACAAGGTGCAGCCTCACCAGTGTCGAGTACAGGAGGACAATCACAGCTCTGTTCCCTCTCTGGTTTGTGAGCTTGGTGTTTTAGAGCCAGTTTGAGTGTCTGCAAAGGACACAACAGAGTCTGAATGTATATTTTGTTTATTCCGCTGCAGAGCGGAGCTCTTCTAAAAGCTCTACAGAGGGCACCGGTGCTGTTTGTGAATCAGACTGGTAATGTAATCTGGGCTGAGAGGCAGGAAGCCAGTTGTCAGAACGTCTGCAGGGAGGGTGGTTTAAAGGATGGTGAGGAATAATGATTCTCCTGTACTCCCAGTTGGGCATGGGGGCTGTGGAGAAAGCATGGAGCAGCGGTGGAAAAGGGCTTCCAAACAGGCAGTGTCAGTTTTTGGGTGGGAGTGGAGAATCAGCTTTGTGTTTGTAGGGCACCACCGTCTTGGCACCATCCATATAGCAATGCCCAGCCTTCACCTGGCAGAAGTGCTCTGAAATGCCTCCTCTGTGGATGTTCCAGCCTGCTGCTTTAGCTCCAGACCGTCTTCACATGGAGCCTGCTCAGCTATGCCCTCTATGTCTTTCTGTTCCTTCACTTCGTCCTTTCTAGTGGGTGGAGGAGGAAGAGCTCCACACAGTTCTGCTTTTGAAGTGAATCTGGCCTTGCTCACTGCTGATTCTGAGGCTTTTAGCCTCAGATCCTCCAGACCTGGCCTGGGAGCGGGACTCCTAAGAAAGGCAGGGAACAAGGTAGAAATAGTACAAAGCAAGAAATGAAATCTTGCCTCCTCCGAGATGACTCTCATCTGTCTGGTGTCTGATGACACAAACTAGTTTTTTCCACATAGTTCAGAATCAGAGATGCTGTTGCAGAAAAACTCTCCCCTCAGGGCTGGACACGTGGAAATCTTTTCTGTCTCTCCTTCTGAGGGCCCTGAAGATGTGTTTCCCAGCAGTGGCATCTCTTTCTGATTTGGAGGACTCTTTCAGTGAGGGCTTTTATCATTGGCAGTGTCCACTGTTCATGGACCTCTGATCTGGAGTCCTGAGCACCCCCAGAAAGTCCAGCATCCTTTGGACTACATTGCCAGGAGATCAACTTGTACCTTCTACCTGAAGCTCGACACCGTGCTTTCTGGACAGATAAAGGACTACGCAATCAGGGCATCAGCGTGTCTGCCCGAAAGGAAGAAGAGTAAGGCAGATTAATCCTTATTAGCTTGGGGATAATATGCAGTTCTTCAATCTGACAGACTCCCCACAGTTTTGAAGTCTTCTTGCTGTATCAGTGCATTCCCTTTGGTGTCCTTAGAGGTCCTAGTTTGAAAATTAGATGCACAAGGTAGTCAGCATCCTGCTGTGCCTTAGATGTAGGAATGGGGACACTGTGCTTAGAAAATTCTAGCCTTTTTTTCAGTGATATCTTGGTAACCTGAAATGAAGCACATTTGTGTTTATTCCAAAGTAAAGGATTTGTATTTTTTTGTTTCACAGCCGTAACTTCCCAATGAAATGAGATACAACATGTAACACATTCCTTCCTGTAAATAAAGCTGATTTTCCCTAAGCGAACCACTATTTTAGATATCTCATTCTTTCTGTCTCAACTTCCACATTTGTTTTCTGAACACTTCACTGAAAAGAAAACCAAAGCGGATACAAAAACTGCTTCTTACCATGTCCTCCAAATTTTTCTGTATGTTTCCCAGCAGATGAAGAGAAGGGGAGACCCTGCCCTTCTGTCAAAGGGTAACACATGACAGAGCCTGGCTGACTTCAGCTTTGAGAACAGGGCCAGCTTCACGGTGCCACTCTTTGCCTGGGTTGGTGGGTGAGTAAACACAACGCTCAGCGATGCTCTAAGGTTGCGCTGCTGGGGCTAGGCAGTATTCACCATCCTCTGAGAGCACCCCTGGGTCCCAGGAAGGAGCCAGCCAAGAGATAACACCCCACGGATGGTCCCCCCAGGAGCTGCACAGTGGTGTCAGAGCTGCTGTGTTGACTGTTCTGCTTTGCTAGTGCTTGTTTGTGGTGTCTGCTGGTGAAACCCTTATTCTGCCTTCCTCCAGAAAAAATTCTAGCAACCCTTTCCTGCCTGGTTACCAGCGATGTTGCCCAATACTGGTACTGAGTGGATCAGTAGTGAGGGACTGTCCAGTCCCCTCAGTATTTGGGAGCTCCCTCAAGTTCCTCCACTCAGGGCATTGCTGAGGAGTTCCTGCTTTGACCTGAGATGTGGTTGTTAGCAGTCTGCCTCTCTCGTCTAGCTTTCTTTTTTTCCCCCACCTGAGCAACAATGGCCACTCTGGAGAATCCTGGGTTCAAAACCTCCTGGTTTGTGGCTCTGGCCATGATGATATGGATGAGGAGCAACATGGCTCTTCATATAGACCCTCCAGGTGAGCAGAGATCCTGGATATTCAGGGACAAGGGAAAACAGCAGGAAGATGTCCATGCTGACCTTATCCCATGTGTCTCGCCCCAGAGCATTTCCTGCTGCAGTGAAAATTGGAGTGTCACTACACGAATGGCGCTCAGCAGGTGAGGTACCTGGACAGGTTCACCTGGGACCGGCAGCAGATCTGTTCCTGTGACAGTGCAGTGGGTTTCTACATGGCCCACACAGAGCTGGGATGGACATTTGCGGAGTATGGGAACAGGCTGCAGTGTCATAGCTGCCTGTGGGCTTCAAGGGAGAAACACTGCAGCTATAACTGGAGGAGGGCTCAGAGTGTGACGGACGGGAGAAGTGAGTCTTCGGAGGGGAGGAGGAAAGTGGCGTGGGGAAATTTGGCTTCCCCAGCCTGGAACCACATTTAACCCTCTCTGTCATGTCCCAGTTTGGCAGCCACTGGATATCTGAGGAGCTCAGTGGGTGGTGGGAGATAGGTCTGAGTTCAGTGGAGCGGCGGCAGAATGAGGGCCATGGACACGAGCAGTTAACATCTTTATTGTGAGTGTAAGACTGAAGGAAATGGCTTGCAGGAGCCCTGCAGAAAAGCATGGGACAGGACTCCCAAGCCTAACAAATGCATCTCTCCACCTGCCAATTCCTGGAGCAATGGACTCGCCAGAGACATGCGAGAAGACATGAAATGCTCCTACAAGATGTTTCTGGTAGAAGAAGCAGAGTGAATCTTCCATGATGGTCCTTCACTGAGGGAAGAAAGAAAAAGGATTAAAGATGAATGTGTCTGGGAGATGTGTAATACGAGGTCTTGTTGAAGGCAGTGGGTCTGGGTGAAATGATATGTTGACAAAAGGCTTTGGAGGAGAAATCTGTATGATATCCATCCTGTTGCTACGAATGATTCTCGAGGAGGATGGGGCAGGAAGAGAGGAGCAACCTGTCTGCCAGCACTCTCCATCTCTTTCTTTCAGTTAAACTCAAAGTAAAAATTTCTCCCATGCAAATGGAGCCATGAGGCTACCCCAGCTGGCTGGTTTGTTCTGTTAGAAGGTTTTATTCTTCTGAAATTAAGACCAAGTGGTTCAAAAATGGGCAGGAGGAGATGGACAAAGTTGTGTATGAGGACCACCTCCCAAACAGAGATCAGTCTCTCCAGATCCTGATCACTTTGGAAGTCACGCCAAAGCAAGGGGCTGTCTGTGCTTGCCAGATGGACCTTGTCAGCTTGCCAGTGCCCATCACGGGCATAAGAGACTGGAAATGGGGAGATCAGAACGCGCTAAGGAGAGTCTCTTCTAGCTCTGTGGGGACAGCAGGAAACTAGAAAAGAGATTTTGGGGGAAAACAATGTCTAGCCTGGGCTTTAACTCTCTGGACTGCTCTTCCAACAGAAACATGCTCTGGATCTGCTGTGGGCGAGAAGGCGACTGGAACGCTGGGCTTTGTGTTGGGCTTAGGCTTCATCATGGTGGGACTCATCATCTATCAGAAGAAAAAGAGAGATGAATTATTCATGAGCTAAGTAGAAACCCATTCTTAATGGGGCTGCAGAAAGATGTTTTAAAGCCTGTAAGGCTTCACTAGAATTGAGATTTACCGTGATAATTTCCTTGGGTTCCCAGCATTCAAGTGGGTTTTATATGGTCTAATCCAATATCCGCAGAAGTCAGTGATAGCTTTTAATTTATTTTAACTGATGTTAGACTGGGCTTTCAGTGATGAGAAGCCATTTCAGAACTATCATCAGCTGCTGAAAGGTCAGCCCAGTCCTCTGAGATGCAGTCCTAGGCTATGGTTATGGTTTCTTATGAGTATCAGATTAGCTGCTTCATTCCCAAATGTCTCCACGTTGCTTTGTTGCAGACATATTTTGTAGACTCTGGAAGAAAATACATCCTTACTTATTTATAGAAGGATTAAATGCCTTTCGTTGGAAACTGCACAGGGGAAAAAGGAGAGAACATTATCTTCCAGAAAGGTGCATTCTTGTGCTCAAAATGTTAGTTTGCTGAGTAGCAGCATCTTATCCCAGCCTTTGCTTTCTGCTTTATAGTAATTTAAGATTATTAGAATCACAACCAAGTACTGGGTAAGTCATAGTGGTGTGATGTTTTTCATGGTGCAACAAGCAATATCCCGCGGGTTGATCCTGTACTGTTACTTTTTCCTAAGCAAACTCCCTTAAGCAAGCCACATCCAACGTAACCCTTTCATTCTCAGCCTGTGGATTTAGGTCACCAGCATCAGGAGAACCTGAATTCCCTGCCCACCAGCACAGCTGTTACTAACTGGGGAAGAGAAGTGCTGAAACCACTGAAACCCCCTTTCTTAGGCCCAAACATCAGTTTCCCAGTGAACTACGAGAACGGCGTACAGATTTGACTCTGTAGGAATTAGTCTTCCAGCCTGCCCAGAGCATGAACTCATTGCACCCTGTTGTTCAGGGCCCTGCATTATCCAAATTATAAATGCTTTGGGTAGATCTCCAAGGTCATCTCAGGAACTGGATTCCCCTGCCATAAATAAATCCCCTACCTGAACAGCCTCTGGCAGGGCTGCCATGGGCTCTCCGATGCTCAGCTGACCCCGTGGATCTCAGCATCTCTGTGCAGTGGGTTAGCACGGGACCACCACGCACTTGGAGATGAGGACAAGGAGAAGTAGCAGGCTCATAGCTGTTCCAGGACTTATGAGCAGAGATGCATCCACAGACTGTTAGGATGAACCTGGAGACCGCAGGAAAATCATTGGGGGAGGCAAACGCGGGAGGCTGTGCTAGCAAGGGCCTGGAGACACTTTCCCTATCCCTCAGCCCGGCTGGCACGGTGGCTGGTAGTGCTCCAAAGCCCGCGTGAGAAGTTCCCCCACCCATTTCTGCTCTCTTTTCCCACAGGGCTGCCGTGCCTGTCTGCTGCAGCCACAGAGGAAGGCAACACAGAAAGTGACAAACTGCTGGGTACCTAAGTCCACGGCAAACCTCTGGGAATCTGTTTCTGTCTCTCAGAGTTAAGATGACCTGTGGCTCCCTGCTTTTTTTCCAACACTATTCCCTTTCCTCCTACTGTTGCCCACGTTAGCAGGGTGCTGCCTCTTCCCCTGTCAGAAGAAATGTGAATTTGCAAATTGGCAGGCTTGGAGATTTCAAGGGTAATCTCAGGGGCTGACACCGGTCCGTGGAGGGTAGGATGGACTCTGCTCCTGCACAGAGCTGCAGGAGGAAAGCCAGAGCTCCCCAGCCCTGCATGCACATGAGGAGCAAAAAGGGGAATAAATAATAGCATTTCTAAGGCGTGTTTTGTACTTGGAGCAATTTATCTAAGGGTCTGAAAGGATTTAATAACTGAGAGCTAATTAAATGTACTAATTAACCTGGTGTTTAATCTCAGCTCTTTGCTAGCTTTCTGTGCTGCTGAAGCAGAGATGTAGTCCCATATATCATGACATCCAGCCACTTTGCTTAATTGTGATTCCTTTGCACATGGTGCAGGCACTCAGCCGCTAAGGTGATGAGAGGAACACAAAAGCCCACGTACAGCAGAAAATTAGAGGGGCGAAGCCAGCCCTGTGTGACTAACAACCTGCGAGATTATTTCCATGAAGAGGATATTGACAGTCTAATTTGTTTCCCTTCCCCATTATCACTGGTTTGTTCTCATTGACACCATGTTTTGCTAAGGGGGATAGGAACAATTTGCTTCTGGGCACATGGTGACAAAATGGCCATGTTATTCCCTGGTCCCATCCTTGTCACCATGGCTCTGAGCTGCTCCGCTACAGCCAGGAGGAGGAGGCTGCTCGCTTTCTCTTCTCACCATACTTCCCCATGAACTTTCTGTGGGGGTTTATACTGGTGCTACTGGTACTGTTTTGGTGTACAACCCACACAGCCAACTCTCAGATCTCCATGAGCTGTTTCCTCAGTGCCACAGAGTAAGGGACATCTGAAGTGACCGTCCAGAGCCCGCTCGATCCAGGAGCAACGTGACTTTCCTGCTCCCAGGGCTAAACAATTCCTCCTGGCTCTGGAGCTGTGGAGGACCCTGGACCACATTGGTGGGTTGGTGGATCGTGGTGGGCCCAGGACAAGGTGTGCTCCACAGGAGAAACAGAGACAGAGGACTCACAGAATTGAAAATCCTGGCACATCATGAAGCCCACCATCCTAAGACACTCTCCTTGTGGAAGCAGTATTTAGTGGGGGACGTCTGAAATCCTGTCATTGCTTCTTCTCATAGCTAGTATGGAAACTATGCCTGGGAAGCTACCAAGAACCACAAACTGCCCAATCTAGGGCAGAATAATTGCCCCCAACAGCGCTATTTAATCCAGCAGCTTCAGTTTGTTCCCAGCTGTAACTCCATCTACACACTGCTCATTTATTACTGCTAATATAAACATGGGATGGAAGTGAGCTTCTCTCAGGCTCATGACCTCAACTTAGGGTCATGACAGCTTCTTTAGGAGCTACTAATTCAAATGCGGTTGGAAACGAGTCTGCATGAGCACGGGGTCATTAAATTAGCGGGAGAAACAGGCTGCTATGGGGGGATGCAGCAGTTACCTTCACTGGAAATCTCCAAGGGAAAGCCAGGCATGAACCTCTCCAGGATGTCTTAGGAGAATGAATCAGACCTGCCAGGATGTGGGGAGAGGGGGGAGACAACCCACGGGGGGTGCTTTTTCTCTGAACCGAACAAGCAAACGATTTTACGAAACCGGCAATCCCCCAGTGTCTCCTTGTGCAGCCCTATGCAGCCAGCGGAGGAAATTGGTAACTGTACCCAGCAAGCCTGTTTTTAATTAACAAATAATTATCTACAAATTGCTGTAATTATTGCCTTGGATTCCAGAGGATGGGGACGTTAGCACAAGATGAGCGCAGTTTCCTTGCGAGTGAAATATTTTCCCTGCCTTATCTCCAGCGCCCTGCTGCTGTGAGGTTTGGGGACTCGGCAGCGCTTTGCTTCTGAGAAAGTGATAAAACAGCTCGCGCTGCCTGGAAGGGGAAGCGCGGTGGAAAAGGCACCGAAGGGAGGGCAGCTTCTTAAGTTTATTGGGTTGTCTGCCCTCATGGTGGAGTTGTTTGGGGGATGCCAATTAAGGCATAAACCTGAATGCCAGAAGGAAGGTGCTTGCACATCGGAGCAAAACGAGCATCCTGCTTTGTGATCTTCCAATGACAAGGGGATAAAACTGGGTTTGGAAAAAGGGGGTTAATGTTAATTCAGATCATACAGGCAGCGTGGAGCTGCCCTGAGCCTCCAGCACTAAGGGTTGCTGGCATGGAGAGGGTGCAGCACTGGCTGTGACCTTCTGGACCATGTTTAGGAGGGAGGCTGGTGCGTGCAGAGCCCTTCCACTGCTTTTCCTTCAGTCTCTGCTGCCAAACCTTGTGGTGGATATCCACAGCAATCACCTTTTCATGGTTACAGAGAGTCTCCCTTGTGGTAGCCAAAGTACTAACACATAGGGATGTTTGTTGTCCTGAAGGGCTTGTAGCCTTTCAACAGGTTGAACAGGGGAAAATCCATCCCGGTTTGCAGGGAAGGCACTGAAAGACTGCGACTTGTCCTGGGCTGGATGGTCAACCTGCTGAAGAGTTCCCAACCCCAAATTTCAGCCTTGCTTGGTGTGTGTAATCTCTGAATCTTGCCCCCTTCCAAGAACCGGTGCCCTTTTTGCTGTCACTCTTTAGTGATTCCCCTAAATGTTGCTGCTCACTGCCAGGGTTTCCATGACAGCCTCCACTTCAAGCAACTGGGACGCTTTTTGTTATTCATCCGTGGTAGATTTACCTGAGGTGAGCTGCCTGTGCCATGCGCCGCTGTGAAATGTTGCCTTTGTTTACTGCCTGCTACTTCTTTCCACTTCTCCATTCAGACATTGACCATTTTGGGCTGGGGGCCCTGCAGCCCCTTCCAAGGCAATGTGGGGTGCATTGCTGACTCTCACAGCATCCCTTTGGCTGTAAGAAAACCCCTTCTTGGCAGAGAGATATTGTGGCTCCTTGCTGTGGAGGAGTGTAAAGAACAGGGCGAGCTGAGACCTTGGCCCTTCCCTCACCCTCAATTTGCCTTTACCAGCAGGACAACATAAAAGCCCTTAATCCTGCTCAAAAAAAGCCTGAAAATGTGGAGATGGCAGCAAATATTTTGCTATTTTCTAGGGTAGCAGGAGGAATTTGCTTGGATGCATGAACGTGTGTCACTGTTGATGCCCACAGTGGTCTCCAGCGTTGGCTGATCTCGAGGAGCTTCATGCTCTTCAAACCCCCTGAAGTTTAAGCTCCCAGCATGAACTCTCCCTTTCAGAGCTCACGTCGGGACCTTGGCAGATGCAGGAAGGTGTTTCTCAACTGTTTCGGGGCTTGTTGTGGGGCTTTGATTGCCAATCATGTGAGCAAAAAATTACCCGCTGTGAAAGCTGAGTCTTTGTCCTTAGCATGGTGCTCTAGTTGCTGGGACCTTGTTGAGCATCCGTAATGCTCTTGACTTATTCAAGCCATGGCTGTGCCTCAAATAT